CCTGGGTCTCCATCCATGAAGACCCTTTGGAAGGGCTCCACCAGCCCCATAGCAGGACCCTCGGTCTCCATCCATGGAGACCCTTTGGAAGGGCTCCACCAGCCCCATGGCAGGACCGTGGGTCTCCATCCATGGAGAACCTTCGGAAGGGCTCCACCAGCCCCATAGCAGGTCCCTCGGTCTCCATCCATGAAGACCCTTTGGAAGGGCTCCACCAGCCCCATAGCAGGCCCCCACACCCCCCTGGGGCTCCACGAACCAGCGGCCGCGCCGCTCCGCCTGCGCGGGACACGGCTCCGCGCTCAGATCCTGATTTCTTGCCCGGCACCGAAATTTCTCGGCAGAGAAATTTATTTCTCTGCTTCATTTATTCATTTCTTATTTAATAACAATTTGTTATGATTAATAAATACTTATGAATAATAAATGATAATAAGTAATAAACGATAATAAATAATAAACAATGAGTAATAAATAATACATAATAAATAATAAGTAATGAATAATAATAGTAATGATAAATGGAAATTAATAAATGCATCCAGATTCATTCATTATTGTTACGAGTTAGGCCAAGAGGACGACCAGGAGCAGCCTCACTTGGGCGCAGCTCAGATTCCTCCAGGACTTGGGCTGGGACCATCTCGCTCTCCTCGGAGCCGCTCCAGGAGCTCCGGGCCCCCCCGAAGGACACGCGGCCCCTTCCCAAGAGGTTCTCGAGGTGTTTTGGGGTCTCCAAAGGCGATGGAGGAGGGAAGGGGGTCCCCTCCACGATGGGGAGCCACCCCCAGGTGCCACCCGTGGTCACCTCGGGGCTCTCCAGCTTTTCCGTGGCACGAGGTTCTCCGTCCCGTCGCATGGGAAGGTGCCACCGCCGCCGGCTTCCCTTGAGCCTTGCGTGTCTTGGGTGTCACCGATGTCACCCGAAGGGTGGCCCGGCCGGAGCGGGGTGCCACGCGGCTCCTGTCCTCGGGATGTGACCCCGTTTTCCACCGTTTCTCCTCCTCAGAGGCCCGGGGAGGAGGCCGAGAACAGCTGCTCAACGCAAGTTGACCTTGCGAATGAATGAGGAGGTCCCTCCCATGAATCCCCACCGGTGACTCATGCAAGGCCTCCCAGCAGCATCGCCAGGAGAACACGGGTCCTCCTTTCATGCTGGAATTCCTGGGAAGAGGCGTGAGATAAGGTTCTCCAAGGAGAAGGTTCTCCAAGGAGAAGGTTCTCCCAGGAAGAAGGTTCTTCCAGGAAGAAGGTTCTCCAAGGAGAAGGTTCTCCAAGGAGAAGGKTCTCCAATGAGAAGGATCCCCAAGGAGAAGGTTCTCCAGGGAGAAGGATCTCCCAGGAAGAAGGTTCTCCAAGGAGAAGGTTCTCCCAGGAAGAAGGTTCTYCCAGGAAGAAGGTTCTCCAAGGAGAAGGTTCTCCAAGGAGAAGGKTCTCCAATGAGAAGGATCCCCAAGGAGAAGGTTCTCCAGGGAGAAGGATCTCCCAGGAAGAAGGTTCTCCAAGGAGAAGGTTCTCCCAGGAAGAAGGTTCTYCCAGGAAGAAGGTTCTCCAAGGAGAAGGTTCTCCAAGGAGAAGGKTCTCCAATGAGAAGGATCCCCAAGGAGAAGGTTCTCCAGGGAGAAGGATCTCCCAGGAAGAAGGTTCTCCAAGGAGAAGGTTCTCCCAGGAAGAAGGTTCTCCCAGGAAGAAGGTTCTCCAAGGAGAAGGTTCTCCAAGGAGAAGGGTCTCCAATGAGAAGGATCCCCAAGGAGAAGGTTCTCCAGGGAGAAGGATCTCCCAGGAGACGGTTCTCCAAGGAGAAGGTTCCTCCAATTAGAAGGTTCTCCAAGGAAAAGGTTCTCCCAGGAGAGAAAGGAGGCACGAGGAACATCACCCACGACCCAACCCCACTCCTGGTGGCCACCAAACCCGCGCAGATCTGCAGCCAGCGCCTCGGCTTCCCGGGGGCCAACGGTGGCCCGGGACGAGGCCCACGGGCTTCCCAAGGAGACACGGAGCGCGCCGGGACTCTCGCTAGGCTCTATTTTATTCACAACACAGACGCGGGTCCTGCGGAGCCGGAACGGAGACGGGCGGGACCGCCGCGCCCGGCCTGCGCGGAGGCGGCTCCCGGCGAGGAGACCCGCGGGATACCGGGAATGCCGGGCAAGCCCTGCTGCGGGATCAGGGAATGTCGCCTCACACTGGTTTAGGTGGAGAACTTCCTTGGGCCCGTCTTGGTCTTGGGCCCCGTCTTGGTCTTGGGCCTCATCTTGGTCTTGGATCCCATCTCCCTTGGACCTCATCTCCCAAGATGGGGTCTTGGGCCCCATCTCCCTTGGGCCCCATCTTGGTCTTGGGCCCCATCTCCCTTGGGCCCCATCTTGGTCTTGGACCCCATCTTGGTCTTGGGCCCCATCTCCATTGGGCCCCATCTCCCAAGATGGGATCTTGAGTCCCATCTCCCTTGGGTCCCATCTTGGTCTTAGACCCCATCTTGGCCTTGGGCCCCATCTCCCAAGACGGGGTCTTGGGCCCCATCTCCCTTGGGCCCCATCTTGGTCTTAGACCCCATCTTGGCCTTGGACACCATCTCCCAAGATGGGATCTTGGGCCCCATCTCCCTTGGGTCCCATCTTGGTCTTGGACCTCATCTCCCTTGGACCCCATCTCCCTTGGGCCCCATCTTGGTCTTGAACCCCATCTCCCTTGGGCCCCATCTCCCAAGATGGGGTCTTGAACCTCATCTCCCAAGATGGGGTCTTGGGCCCCATCTCCCTTGGGCCCCATCTCCCTTGGGCCCCATCTTGGTCTTGGACCCCATCTCCCGAGATGGAGTCTTGGGCCCCATCTTGGTCCTGGACCCCATCTCCCTGGGGACCCAAGACGGGATCTTGGCCCCATCTCCCTGGGGTTTCTCCGTGGGCTCTCCGGCCATGGAGAAACGGGAATGGGCCCCCCAAGCCGGCGTCGGGGGCGCCAACCGGCCCCACTTGGGCCCCCGCTGAATAAATAGAATAAATAGATTAAATATCCGCGGGCAAATGTCCTCCCTTCCCGGCACGGCCCTTCCCTCTTCTCCATGGAGGTCTTCTCCTCCATCCATGTCCCTCCATCCACCCCCATGTCCCACCGCGTCACGTCCCCGTCCTCCATCCGCCGTCTCCCAACTTTCCTCCTCCTCCTCGAGCCTCCCCTTTTCCCACCATTCCCGACCGCTCCCGCCACTTTTCCCACGCTTCCCGTCCCCGGAGCCTCCACGGGAATTCCCGTTGGGAATGGGAAGGGGAGGGGCGCCACATCCCGGCGCTCTTCCCGGCAGCAAGCCGGCGCAATTCCCTGGAGTCCGTCTCCATCCCGCTCTCCTCGTCTAGCTACGCTACCGTCCTAATCTACCCGCTATAAAACTACGTTCCCAGGGCGCCGTCGGGTGACACGAGCTGGGCACGTCCTCGCCGGGCCCGGCCCCGCGGCCTCGGCGCTGCCATCCTGGAGACCAGGTCAACGGTTCCCATCGAGGAGACCAGGGCAACCCAGCTTCCCGTTCCGGAGATCGGGTTGATTCCCATTGGGATCGGGTTGATTCCCATTGGGATCGGGTTGATTCCCATTGGGATCAGGTCAACCTGGTTCCCCATTCTGGAGACCAGGTCAACCTGGCTCCCGTTCTGGTGACCAGGTCAACCTGCTTCCCATTGTGGAGACTAGTGGTCAACCACTTCCCATTCTGAAGCTCGAGTCAGCCTGGTTCCCACTGAGGAGACCAGGTCAACTCAGCTCCCGTTCTGGAGACCAGGTTGATTCCCATTCTGGAGATCAGGTCAACCTGGTTCCCCATTATGGAGACCAGGTCAACCTGGTCCCCATTCTGGCCACCAGGTCAACCTGGTTCCCATTGTGGAGACCAATGGTCAACCCACTTCCCCTTCTGAAGATCAAGTCAACTTGGTTCCCATTGAGGAGACCAGGTCAAGCTGTCTGTCATTATGGAGACCCGGTCAATCTGCTTCCCATTCTGAAGATCAACCTGGTCCCCATTGATGAGACCAGCTCAACCCAGCTCCCGTTCTGGAGATCAGGTCAATGTGGTTCCCCATTCTGGAGACCAGGTCAACCTGCTTCCCATTCTGGAGACAAGATCAACCCAGTTCCCAGTTCTGGAGACCGGATCAACCCATTTTCCATTCTGGAGACCAGGTCATCCTGGTCCCCTGTTCTGGAGACCAGATCAACCTGCTTCCCATTCTGGAGACCAGATCAACCCATCTCCCATTGTGGAGACCAGATCAACCCAGTTCCCCATTCTGGAGACCAGGTCAACCTGCTTCCCATTCTGGAGACCAGATCAACCCAGCTCTTGTTCTGGAGACCAGGTCAACATGATTCCCCATTCTGGAGACCAGATCAACCCAGTTCCCCATTCTGGTGACCAGATCAACCCAACCACCATTGTAGAGACCAGGTCAACCTGATCCCCCATTCTGGAGACCAGATCAACCCAGTTCCCCATTCAGGTGACCAGATCAACCCAACCACCATTGTGGTGACCAGGTCAACCTGCTTCCCATTCCGGAGACCAGATCAACCCAGCTCCCCATTCTGGTGACCAGATCAACCCAACCACCATTGTAGAGACCAGGTCAACCTGATCCCCCATTCTGGAGACCAGATCAACCCAGTTCCCCATTCAGGTGACCAGATCAACCCAACCACCATTGTGGTGACCAGGTCAACCTGCTTCCCATTCCGGAGACCAGATCAACCCAGTTCCCCATTCTGGTGACCAGATCAACCCAACCACCATTGTGGTGACCAGCTCAACCCAGCTCCCATTCTGGAGACCAGGTCAACCTGATTCCCCATTCAGGTGACCAGATCAACCCAGTTCCCCATTCCGGAGACCAGATCAACCCAATTCCCCATTCCGGAGACCAACCCAACCCACCTCCCACCCAACCCACCAACTCACCCCTCTTCCACCACCAAGCCCCACGTGGTCCCCACCTCCACGTCCCCCCCTAATAGGCCGGCAGCTGCTCGGGCGCCTCCTCCAGCGGCGCCTCCTCCGCGTGGCTCCGCAGGTGCCGGTAGAGCCGGGCGGCGGCTCCGAAGCGGCGCCCGCAACGCGGGCAACCGAAGGGCCTCTCGGCGCCGCCAGGACGCCGGGGCCCCTCCCCGCCCCCACCGTGCGCCCGCTGGTGCTTGTGGAAGTGCAGGGTGCTGTTGAAGCTCTTGCCGCACTGGGCGCACACGTGGGGCTGCCCGCCGGCGTGCGTGCGCTGGTGCCGGTAGAGGTGCGAGGTCCGGCCGAAGCGCTTGCCGCAGTCCCCGCACGCGTAGGGCCGCTCGCCCGTGTGGATGCGCTGGTGCCGCTCCCAGTGCGAGCTCCACGAGAAGCTCTTGCCGCAGTCGCCGCACCGGTACGGCTTCTCCTCCACGCCGCCGCGCTGGTGCACGTCGCGCCGGTGCCGCGCGTACTGGGCGCGCGCCCCGAAGCTCGCGCCGCACTCGTCGCAGCGGAAGGGCCCCGCGGCGCCCTCCAGGTGCAGCCGCTGGTGGGCCACGAGCGCGGCGCCGTCGCCGAAGCCGCGGCCGCAGCGCGTGCACTTGTAGGGCCGCCGGCCGGCGTGCGTGCGCTGGTGCCGCTCGAAGTGCGGCGTGCTGCCGAAGCTGCGCCCGCAGTAGGTGCAGATGTAGGTGCCCGCGCTGGCAGCGGTCCCGTGCGTGCGCTGGTGCCGGTAGAGGTGGGAGGTGCGGCCGAAGCGCTTGCCGCACTCGGCGCACTCGTAGGGCTTCTCGCCCGTGTGCACGCGCCGGTGCCGGTCGAAGTGGGAGCTCCACGAGAAGCCCTTGCCGCAGTGGGCGCACTCGAAGGGCGGCCGCCCCGTGTGCAGCCGCTGGTGGGTGGCGAGCTCGGTGCGGCGGCGGAAGCGGCGGCCGCACTCGGCGCACGCGTAGGGCGGCGGGCGCGGG